GAGCCCGATGTGGGGCTCGATCCCAGGACCCTGGGATCATGACCTGAGCTGAAGGCAGACGCTTAACCATCTGAGCCACCCAGGTGCCCCTAGTTTTTGTTTTTATTGACATTTATTATTTTGTGGTAGTTTTTAATTTTTGCAGGTATCGTGAGAAAAGATATGGGAAAGCAGTGAAATTCTAGGATGATATTGAGGTAGGCAGCCTGGGTCCACGGATCCAGAGTGGGGGTTCTCCACAGGATCAGCCAAGAGGATCTTTGGCTTTGCGCAGGATAGAAATCAAACATGAGCTGGAGAAAGTGAAAGAGTTTATTGAATAGCATGAACGACAGAGAATAGCAGATGGCCTGTCTGGGAAATTTGGAAAGGAAAAGAGAATGAGTCTTATTGTCGCTTGGGGCTAGGGGTTTTAAATTGGAAAGGGATCTAGGGCATGTGTTCCTTTGGGAATCCAGGTAGGGTCTGATCAAAGGCAAGTGTCAGGTGAACAATAGGTGTTATTTCATAAATTACTGAAGGTAGCAGTATTGATGCCAGTGTCAGCCAAGGTTTATTCAAAGCTGATGTCCTGGAACACATTTGGGATTCAGCTCTTCTTAGATGTTATCAGGTATTTGGGGCCTAGGGAACATTAAAGTGGGAACATAGCTTCTTTGGCTTATTCAGAGGCAAATATGGGTCATGAGTAAATGGGGCCTGCCAGAAAAATGGAGCCTTTCTAGAATGGAGTCCCTTCAGCTTCTTTACCTTAATAGTTACAGCATTAGGAGACCCTTAGATAATAGTATTAACAGTTACCTACATTTCTTAAGGTTTTAGTCTCCCTCATTTGAAAATCTTTTTTTTTTAGGATTTATTTACTTATTTATTAGCGTGCGCGCGCGAGAGAGAGAAGGAGCAGGGGGAGAGGGAGGGAGAAGCAGACTCCCCACTAAGCAGGGAACCCGACGGGGGCTTGATCCCCAGACGTGGGGCTTGATCCCAGGACTGAGCCAAAGACAGACACTTAACCAACTAAGCCACCCAGGCACCCCTGAAAATCTTTTTATCCACAGTAAATTTAATTCTGTTTTAGTTTAGTTTAACTAAATTTGTTTGTGGTTTAAAAAGGAGTTCAGAATGGGTCAGAATTTCTCATTGAAAGTTCCAACCTTTTTTTTTTTAATGTTATGTTAATCATACATTACATCATTAGTTTTTGACATAGTGTTCCATGATTCATTGTTTGCGTATAACACCCAATGCTCCATGCAGTACGTGCCCTCTTTAATACCCATCAGGAAAGTTCCAACCTTTTTAAAGCTAATACTTAAATGCATTAAACCTAAATTTTATATGTTACTTTTCTATTAAAGTTAAAGTGTTCTTCCTCTTTTCTCATTTATTTTACTGTAAGCTGAGATTTTGGTAGAGGCAGATTTTAATCCCTGGTCCTCTAGGCTCTGTGAGTCACACAGGGACATTGAATGGTTTTCTTAGAACTGCAGTTTTAGTATAAAGTTAGGGACATAAATGTCGAATGTACCTTATTTTATGTATTAATAGGAACCAGACAGCAAGGTTTAAAAAGTAATTTTGTGTCTGGAAATAGGTAGATAACATGGAAGATGGGGGATTATTTAATTTAAAAAAGGTTTTTTTGAGAGGTTAAGAATTTTATCTTGCCGGGATACAGGGAGAGAGGGAGGAGAATTCTAAGTCTTGGTGAAACATAACTCAAAGGCATATAGTTAGTATTAGCATTCTATTTGCTTGTATATGGAAAAACCAGTAACAGATTGATTTAGTCTATTAAAGGAAAAATAGGAGCAGGGAGAAGAAAAAAAGACATACTCGGGAATAGTGAAGTTTGTTTCCCTTTACTTGCCTATGTTGCTGATGAACTGGCAACTAGTAAAGAGGACAATCAGGATATTCTGCCCTTGGTAGGTAGATGGGTCATCAATGAAAAACAGTTTTAGTTGTTTATGACTTCTCCAGAAGATGTTGGGTGTTTAACTGTGACTTCCATGTAAGAGGTTGTCTCTATATTATGTCTGCCACCGTCCTCATTAGCATTTCCATGCCAGATCTGTGTCAGAATTTCTCACTTACTTTATTACAGTCTTATTCCCATGATTTTTTCTTTCATTTTGTATTCTTAGGTGTGTTAGATGGGCTTTCCAAAGGTTGATGCTCCATCTTCCTGTGGTTTTGTAGGCCATTGTAAGTCATTATTTTAACATTGTGTGTAATTTGTTATTCTTCAGATCAAAAAGTCATAGTCTATTTGAGACTATATGGGAGATCTGAACTATAAGGTGTAAAGCATTTGCAGGGGGTTTCTCTCCTCAGTTATTTAGAAGAAATTAGTAAACCAACAAAAAGTATTTATCTAAGTAGTTTATGATCTTTTACCTTACTTTTGCTTTGAAAGTTTAGGTTAGGATTTTGGAATATTTTGTGAATTGTCTTTATTTTATAGTTAGATTTACTATTGCTATGTGTGTTATCTTTGACAAAGAGTGGAAATAATCTTAAAGTAAATTCTGTTTCCTTACAGTCAAAGGCCGTTGGCTTGCTAGATGTGGATGTGTATGGCCCTTCAATTCCAAAGATGATGAATCTGAAAGGAAATCCAGAATTATCACAGAGTAAGTAGAGATAGACAGTATGATAATGTACCATGTGTACCTTCTACACAGTGTAGTATAGTAATTCTGAAATCAGATATGGAGCCAGACTGGGTTTGAATCCTAGCTCTGTCATTGACTGTGTGGCTTTGGGTGAATTGTATAACCTCTTTGTACCTCACCTCTGCCCCATATGTAAAATAAGGTTAACAGTTGCTGTGAGAAATCACTCAATTAGAAATTGCCATTAAGTGTAATGCATTTGACATAGTGCCCGGCACATAGTCAGTGATCATTATCTCTTTACATTATATGTGTGGATGTATGGAAGTATTTGAATAGAAAGTATATATTTGTGTTAGAAGACATGAAAATTATTTTTTTCTAATCAGATTTTTGTCATATTTGTCTTAAGGTATTAAAAAAAAAACCTCCCAAAACATTAGTTCTTTTGCCAGCCTTCACTGCTGTCAATAGGACAGTAATTTTTAGTAAATCTTTAATATTTACTATGCTTGTTATTACACTTTCTTGCAAAGCTATCAAATATAAAGCATTAAGAACAAGGAAATGCTGTGATCAAAAGACGAAAGTATTGGAAAGGGGTGCCTGGCTGGCTCAGTTGGTAGAACATCAAGCCCCATGTTGGGCTGTGGAGAGTACTTAAAGAAAAAAAAAAATAAATAAAAATAGAAATATTGGGAAAACTTGTAATTTCTTGAAAAATGGTTTTAAGTGAATGAAATTAATTTATTAAAATTTATTTCAAATTATAGGGTTGCCTGGGTGGCTCAGTTGATTAAGCGCCGACTTTTGATTTAGGCTCAGGTCATGATCTCAGAGTCCTGGGATGGAGCCCTGTGTTCACTGTGTACTCAGTGGGGAGTTGACCTGAAGATTCTCTCTTTCCCTCTGCCCCTCCTCCGTCTGTGCTCCTGCGCCGCTCTCAAATAAATAAATAAATCTTTAAAGAAAATTGTATTTCAAATTATAATTAGAGTATATAATTGAAGAATTTCTTTTTATTTCTTGTCGTGCTTTTTCTTTTCCATAGATCTAGAACAAAATGACTATTGTAGGGTTTTTGTTGGAATATCTATGTAAATAATAGAAGTATTTTTTTGTTGTCATTAAATGTTAGTTAATTAGGCATTGTCTGCTATGTAGTGTGCTTTTGTGCTTTAGTTGTTGGGGTCAATTACAATGTTAAGTTCTGAATAATTGTAGGAAATTTGAAGATGTAGTGATGATAAAATTGACTCTAGCAGTCTTATATTGTAAGCACCCACTTAGTTTTCTTGTTTGATGAAAATACAAACTTAAAAAACTAAGTTATTCTAGCTTCTTTGTTCTTTGTCCTTTCAAGTGGAATGCATACTTAGTTTGCAAATGTGTGACATACGCCAAGATGTCAAACTTTCACAAAGAAGGAGTAATGAATTTGCGTACTTTAAATGATAGACTTATTATGTCTGTCTCTTGATTAAAGTAATGTGAAAAGTGGTGCATGCAGCACATGAGTGATGGCAAAATGGAGCCCTTGGTGTCAGTTTTTTCTTAAGTAGTCTGTTCAGTCTATGCCAACATAAATACTTGAAGTGAACTTTAATTTCTTTCTTCTTGTTGTACTGAAGCTGTAATCTTAAATTTGATGTTTGCAAATTGGCTGCCATTAAATAGGCTTTCTGGTAAAGATGAGATACTGGAAATCTTGGAAAGCCTTAAAAGAATACTTCTTTTGTGTTGACAAGCTGATCTTAAGTCACCCAAGAAATAAACTGAACGATTAAGGCAATCACTTAAAAGAATGTGGATTCTTAAAGGCCCAACTTATAAATTATTTTTTGAATCTTAGATAAACCTGCCACTATTATACTAATTGGCTTCATTTTGACATTTCTGTATTTTAACATGTTAATTTATCCTGTTGTACTCTCTATTGCAGAAAACAATGCAATATGAAATTATCTAATTAACAATAAAGAAAAACTGTGAAAGATTTGTTTTCAGCAGGCCGTAAATCTTTGTGTTTATGATTAGTACCTGTCTCAAGACAAATGGGTGTTGTTCTATGTCTCTTTCACTTTTTGAATTATATCAGAGAGCTATCCTTAAGATGTGTAGACTAGGAGTATGGTACATTTGTAATGTGGCCATATTTTTTGGGCTCTTTGTACTTCACATTTCTCTTTTCCAGTCTAATTCCAGGTTAAAAAAAAAAAACACAACTTTTTTTCTTATTTCCTAATCTTCTGATCATTCCCAGTGTTTTTCAGAATTATTGGCACATTTTCAGTATCTTGTCTCAGATGAAAAAAATTAAAAGAACTTGCTATTGTTAGGTAGTGGGTAGATTAACTTGCAATTCTATTTTTAATACTCTATTTATGTGCCTTGCAAATTTTTGCTTTTTAAAATAGACTTCATTATTGCTGATTCATAGTTTAATAATTTACTGGGTACTTTAGAAACCTTTTAGGGGTACTTTAACAAAACATGTTCTGTTTCTTTTTTTTTCTTTTCCTTTTTTTACGTGAGAACAGAGCTTTATTTTTATTTTTGATTAAGATATAATTCACATACCATAAATGTCACCATTTCTTTTTCTTTTTCTTTTTCTTTTCTTTTCTTTCTTTCTTTCTTTCTTTCTTTCTTTCTTTCTTTCTTTCTTTCTTTCTTTCTTTCTTTCTTTCTTTCTTCCTTCCTTCCTTCCTTCCTTCCTTCCTTCCTTCCTTCCTTTCTTTTCTTTCTTTCTCTCTCTTTCTTTCTTTCTTTCTTTCTTTCTTTCTTTCTTTCTTTCTTTCTTTCTTTCTTTCTTTCTTTCTCTGATGTTAACAGAAAGTAAAGCATTTAGGAAGGTAGTTTGGTGAAAGCAGGATGTAAAATGAGTTTTGAAGGTGGAAGATGAGGTTGCCTGTGTGGCTCAGTTGGTTAAGCATCTGCCTTCGGCTCGGGTCGTGATCCCAGGCCCCTGGGATTGAACTCCATGGCAGGCTTCCTGCTCAGTGGGGAGTCTCTTTCTCCCTCTCCCTTGTGCTCTCTCTCTCTCAAATAAATAAATAAAATCTTTAAAAAAGCCAAAATAAAATAAGATAAAATATTGAAGCTGGAGATGTGGGAAATATTCAAATGTGAGTTGGAGACTCTACAGGAAAAGTCAAAAAGCCATAAAAAATAACACTATACTAAGAGGCATGAAAAGTTTTCATAGTCTAGATTTGGTGAGGCCAACTTAGAAGAAATTAGACATGTTACAAAAAAAAAAAAGTCATCCTTTTCACTTTCCTTCTCTACTCTAGATTTTGTGTCTGTGGTGTACATACAGGTTAATGGATTGAAATGAGATTTTGTTGTCAAAATTGGATAGATTTTGTACACCCATGTTCATAGTAGCATTATCACTGTTATTATTATGAATTCACTATTTATTACTCCATTATGTGGAAGCTATCCACCATCTATCAGCAGATGAATAGATAAGCAAAATGTGGTATACACATACAATGGAATGTTATTCACTCTTAAAAAGGAAGGCAGGAGCTTCCTGGTTGGTGAACACATGATTTGGGGAGAGTGGTGCGCTTGGAGAGGGCATGGAAGCTCTCTGTTCTTCCTCAGATCTTGTCCTATGCATTTCCTCCACCTGGCTATTTCTATGTTATATCCTTTTAATTTAATTTAATTTAAAATTATTTAAATTTTATTTAAAATTAAATAATATCTTCCTTTCCTTCCTCATCTCTTCCTTTCCCTGCCCCACAACACTGAGAGCTAACCAATAATCTGAGTTACACTCTTTTAAATAAACTGGTAATATAGTTCCAGGGATTAGGATGTGGACATCTTTGGAGTACTGTCATTCTATCCCCCTGTCTCCCTCTACTTGGGGTTTTTACCACTGTGAAAAGGAAAAGGGGTAAGGAAATTCTTACTGCTCTAAACATTCTGGACATTGTCTTTCATTGCACATCAGTAAGAATTTCCTTTCACTATGAACCTAGGAGTGTAATACCCAGGTCATGAGTTTGTGAATGTTTATATTACTTTCCAAAATGTTGGCATTAACTTATGCTCTGTTCATTGTATATAAGAGACACCATCGATCCATATCCTCTTTAAATAGGACATAAAGTGGTATTTCATTATGGTAAAAAAAATAAGGAAAGTCTTAACATATCTTGCAACATGGGTGAACCATGAAGACATTATGCTAAGTGAAATAAGCCAGTCACAAAAAGACATGCTGTATGATTCTGCTTAGATGAGGTACTTAGGATAGTCAGAATCATAGAGACAGAAAATAGAATGGTGGTTCCTAGGACCTGGAGAGGAGGGAAGAATGGGGAGATATTGTTTAATAGGTTTCAGTTTTACAAGATGAAAAAGGTTATGGAGATGGATGGTCATGATGGTAGGACAGCATTATGAAACTATTTAATACCACTGAACTGCAGGCTTAAAAATGGTTAAGATGGTAAATATTGTTGTATATATTTTACTATAATGAAAGAAATTGAAAAAAATTAAATAGATTTGCTCTGGCAGTATTACCACAGAACAGGGTTTCTTCAGTGTCTGTGGTATTGACCCAGTGATTCCATTTGTTTGTTTTAATGATTTTATTTATTTATTTGACAGAGACACAGCGAGAGAGGGAATACAAGCAGGGGGAGTGTGAGAGGGAGAAGCAGGCTTCCCGCCGAGCAGGGAGCCCGATGGCGGGGCTCGATCCCAGGACCCTGGAACCATGACCTGAGCTGAACGCAGACGCTTAATGACTGAGCCACCCTGGCACCCCTCCATTTGTTTTTTAAAAGAGCAATCATTACTGGAGGAAAATGGAATAGTGAGGTTTAACTGGGAGACTTAATTTAGTTATAAGCCTTCTCTACTTTTCAGTTCGGAAACTTTACTAGCCTACCAGGTATTAGAAATTGACGCCTAAAATTTTATTTGCATCTCATGAAAAGTGAGAGAACTTATTACATTTAAAATCCTTAATGTTCTCATTACCAGTATTACCATTTGTCACATTACCAATATCGTAAAGCACTGTATGATCTGATCCCCACCTTCTGTCTACTTCTGCATTCCCAATTCCAACAAGCTTGCTTTGTTATTCAGTGAACAGTGAATTTTATTTTCCACCACCATAAATGTCACCATTTCTAACACGTGAATGTTTACATTACTTTCTAAAATGTTTGGCAGTGTTTACTTGTAAGGGGTGGAGTCCTGTAGAGCCTGAATTTGAGCCGTGATGGAAAGGGCAGTGTTTAGAATCCCAGCTTTGGGACTTAAACAACCTGGAAAAAGAGAAGGAACTAGTAGGTCAGTGTATACCATCATTCTTTCCTCTAACCATCTTCATTGCCAAGCTAAAACAGTGCATGAACACTAAAACAAAGATCTTACTTGATACTCTTTTTCTGGAGATGGTATCATAATAGGTTAGGAGAAGTGGTGTGAGGAAACAGTGACAGTAAGGTTTTGATTTTATTCTGCTGTCTCTGAGGTCTTTCAGTTAAGGAAAAGAAGGCAGAAATAGCAGCTTGCAGTTTAATGGGCTTTGAGATCTCCCTTGCAGTATATAAACCACAGACTTTCTTCTGAAGGGGTTGAGTATCTTGAACTGGGTTCACCAGAAAGCAGAGCCATGTGCACTGCGAATTTATTAGGAAGTGCAAACCCAGACTGAGGAAGGAGGCAGGGAGGGAGAGCTAATGTGAAACTGTGCTATCAGGCTGGCTGTCACTTGTATGTGACAGATTGCTTGACTTCACGGGACTGTGTATATGGGAGGAAAGG